TATAGGTAGAATTTTGAGTTGAACTATATTTCATGTTGTCTTATTATTGGGATATTTTGATTTCACTTCATATCTTATGTTTTTTATGTTTTATATTATTCACTCATTAGTATATAAAAAATTTATCATTTTATGTTTACGCAATCTTTTGATTTTGAGGCTTACGCCTCAAAACGCCTTGAGGCTTACGCCTCGCCTCACGAATGAAAAACGCCTCAATACCCGAATACGCAATTTTAAACATTGCAATTGACGTAATATTTTGTTATTTTTTGATATTTTTGTCATTATTCATAATTTTAAATTGCTTTATTTTTATAATTTTCGAGGCTTACGCCTCGATCCGCCTCGAGGTTTACGCCTCGCCTCGCTTAGCCAAAACGCCTCGATTCCCGGTTTCTGAGGCTTCCCCCAGCTTCTCCTTGGAAATCTGAGAAATTCAGCGCATTGCAGGGACTTCATTTTCAAAATTTCATTGAGAGGCTAATGATACTGAAGATGAGATGGCTTCTCCTTGGAAACTTTCTGGAATGCAAAGGCAGGTCTTGGCTTTATACCGTTGTTTTCTTCGGGCAGCCCGAGTGAAGAATCTTGAAGACCACCAAAGAATCGTGTCTGTTGTCTCCGCAGAGTTCCATAATAATGCCAATAATGTTGATCGCAAAAACTTTCAGTACATTGAATATCTTTTGCGGCGTGGGAAGAGACAGCTTGAGCAACTCAAGAATTCCACCACCCTTTCACTTTCAACAATTAATGTCAGTAAAGAGGGAGCTTATACCCTTCCTGTTATTCATTTTTTTTTATCACAGTAAAAATCTGAATGAACATTGAGGGAGGATATTCTGATTAAAATTTTGTCTGGATGTATTTCAAAAACTTTGAATCTATTTTAAAATGAGTGCAATACATGAATAATTAATTAATTTTTGTAACACATTTTTTTCTTAAAAACTGCCACCAAATATGTTTTTTGTGTGATTCATTTTATCTTTTCAAAGAAAAGTTAAAGAATTCTCAATTGAAAATAAATTATTGAAGAAAAGCTCTATTCTGAGAGTCTTAGAACACTTCCAATTAAATGTTTCTTTAGATGCTTTACCCATAACTCTATCCATTGGAAATTATTTATTGTTTCTGCTTGGTGATTTTTAAACAAACATTTGGTTAAGATATGCGATTTCCTACCTTGGAACCTGCTAATCTGATTTACAAATTCTCAGCTCAATTCTTCTGGTTCGAAAACAATCACTGAAGACAAGAAGCTCGCTTCAACGTATCATTAAGGTAGCCACAAGATCATCCCCAACAGTCTTTAATAATCCTTCTGCTGATACGTACAAAGGTTCTGATTTGATGCTATCTGTTGTGTTATTGATTTCTGCAATTGTTTTGTTTAGTGTCATAGAAAACAAGCTATTTTTTTTTTCATTTCCTATGACCATCATTAGATGTCACAAGTGGTCGGTCAGGCTTTAAATCTGAAACTGCAAGTCTACAACTATATTGACTGCTTAGTAGTTTGAAGTGTCTTTAAACACGATCTTATGCAGAGTATGGTTTGCATTTTCTCGTTGCCTATGGTTTGCATGGTTTCATTGCCTTTAAGGTGTAATTGCCTTTTTCTTAATGATGCAGAAGTGTTCAATATGATCAATACAAGGCTATTTATTTGAGAAAATAGGTTTATAAAGTGGAGTTGGCAATTAGGAGATGTGAAAGGACTTTTTATTTTTATTTTTCTCATATTTATGTAGCTGAACTATTCTGAAACTTGGAGCTGTTTTAATTTGTATGTTTTAAGAGAATTCTACTTTATCTTTTTACCATAAACAAACAATTAATCAAGTTAATTTTAGATTGCAGAAAGTGTGAGGCTTTAATGTAAAGGACATCTGATCAGCTCCAATGGAGTTGGCTTAGGGTGCGTTTAAGCTAATCTTGTCATAATTTTATTTTATAGATTAGTCAAATTTTCATTTGATTGTAATTTTTTTATTTTTGAAAATATTTTTAAGATGAGATTTTTTTTTTTTTGCATTTTGATAGTTCTAAGAATTAATAGATGTTATGATCCATAGGAAGATAAATATTATTTGTATTCAGCAAACTAAATGGGTTAGAGAGAAGGCTAAGGAGATTGATAGTTTAGGATTTAAACTATTGTATTTTGGTAGGAGTTGTACTAGAAATGGTGTATGTGTGATTATAGATAAGAGTTTGAAGAATAATGTTGTAAAGATTGATAGAATTGGAGACATAATTATAATTTTAAAGATTGTTGTTGATGCTAAAATTATTAAGATAATAAGCATTTATGCTCCTCAAATAGGTTTAGATATTTGTTCAAAATTAAAATTTTGGAATGATCTAGAAAAATTAATACAAATGATACATCTTGAAGAGAATTTTTATTGGAAGAGATTAAATGGACATATTGGTAGAGAGGTAGATGATTTTAAAAGTATTCATGGTGGTTATGACTTTGAAGCGACTAATGAAGATGGTAAGATAATATTAGATTTTTCTTTGGCTTATGATTTTGGAATTGCTAATATCTTATTTAAGAAAAGAGATGAGCATCTTATCACTTATAAAAATTGATATGGTAAAACTTCGATTGATTATTTTCTTATAAAAAAAATAGATCGTTTAGATTTCAAAGATAATAAAGTTATTATGAGTGAAAGTTTATGTATCTAATATTGCTTATTAGTTTTGGACTTTAAGATGAAGGGGGCAGAATATTAAAAGTAAAGTAAATTGTTGTCATGGGTTAGATGGGGGGATTTAAATAAATATTAACAAAAATATTTTTGAGAGTAAAATTCAAAATTTTAAGATTTTGTCTGTGCATGAGGAAGCTAATGTTATGTGAAAAAAATAGCTAGTGATATTAAGAATATTGTAAAGATGTGCTTGGAGTATCAAAGAAAAAAGCTATTAATAGTAAAAATAGTTGGTGGTGGAATCAAAATGTGCAAGAAAATATAAAAAATAAAAAAATTTGTTATAAAAAATGGTTTAGCTGTAAAAATTTTAATAGTTGCAAAATATAGAAAGAGGCCCATTAGGAGTCTGAGAAAGTAATTTGCAATGCAAAAATTTTAATTTTTAATGATTTATATAATAGATTAGATACTAAGAAGGACGAAAGATATACGTATAAGTTAGCTAAACAAAGAGATAGAAGTAGTAAGCATTTAGTTCAAGTGAAGTGTATTAAGGATGAAGATCAAAAAAGTGTTTTTATTAAAAAAAGATATTCAACAAAAGTGGTTGAGATATTTTGCTAATTTTTTTAATGAATATTATGAGAATGCAATTGACTTTAGTGATATTAGCACCCTAAATGAAAATAAATATTTTTATTTTTATTGGCGTATTAGTAAAACTGAAGTTAAAGAGGCTTTAAAGAAAATGCATGCATTAAGATATCTCTAATGAAAGCTACATTAAATTACTCATAATTGTTTCAGAAAACTTCAACGCACAGAGTCGTAGGCTTCGTTTGGGAGGGACAACTTTCTGACTGCTTTGTTTTTCAGTTGTAACTATATTTTTTGTTTGGCCACTACTTTTTTGTTGCTTCCAAAAAAATTTGTAGTAGGAAACTGCTTTCTATAATAATTTTATAAAGCAGTAAGAAAGCTATCTCAAACAAAGTCGTATTTTTCACTTATTTTTATAACAACAAAACTACGAAAGGACTATTTTTAAGAAAATACAAAAATATATCAGTCAATTAGATAATATTTATTGTCTATAAAAATTATGATAAAAAATAAATAAAATAAATAGAAATTAGAAGATACAATAAAATGAGTCCAAACAATATATGAATTATTGACTTAATCTGCCTCTCCAGGTGGCTTTACTAAGCCAGACCTTAAAAAATACTGGACTAGTCAAAATCTCATAATAATGATATTTATCACATACTAAAAGTTACATAATAAAAGTTTACTAAAATAGGAGATATCACATTTTTATCACTTACAGGAAAAAAATTATGCCAAACTCAAAATCATTGAAAGCAGAAGTAGAGTAAATGTTACTTATAATGATTATAATATTTTTTATAATAGAAGCAATAGAGGAAGAAGCCTCGAAAGCCTTTTCTCTCTTCTCTCTCTCCTATCAATCTTCTCTTCTCCTCAGTGGCGGAGCCAAAAATTTTATTCAGGGGGGGGGGCCTTAAATTAAAATAGTTATGTTTATCTTCTCATTTCCAGTGTCAAGAGTAGCTATAAGATTGAAATTAAGAATACAAATAACATGGGTCTTAGAGCTTAGAAGACATAAATATTTGCCACAGGTAGGGGTGCAACCGAGTCAAGCCGGCTTGCAAACTAGCTCGACGAGTCGAGTTTACCAAGCGTGACGGCTAATCGAGCTCGAGCTCAAACACTCGGCTGCTCGACTCGATAGCTCTTCGAGTAACTCGAACTTGAGAACGGAAGCGAACTTCGCCGCGAGAGCGGGTTGCGGCAGCAGGCTTTGCAGCAAGAGCGGGAGCGTGAACGGGCTTCGCCACGAAAGTGGGGCGCGGGAGCAGGTCGTGGCAGCGGGCTTCGCCGCGAGAGCGGGAGTGTGAATGAGCTTCGCCGCGAAAGCAGGGCGTGGGTTGCGGTAGTGGGCTTCGCCGTGAAAGAGGGACGCGGGTCACGACAGTAGGCTTCGCCGTAAGAGCAGGAGCTCGACGAGCCGCTCGACTCGACTCGTTTCATGAGACGAGTAAAGCTCGAGCATTAGAGCGGGAGCGGACTTCGCCACGAGAGCGGGTCGCGGTAGCAGGCTTCGCTGCGAGAGCGAGAGCAAGAGCGGGAGCGTGCTTCCCCACAAAAGCGGGAGTGGGCTTCGCTGCGAAAGTGGGCTTCGGGCTTCGCCACGAAAGCGGGTATCGACAGTGGGCTTCGCCGCGAGAGCAGGTTGCGGCAACGGGCTCGCCGCGAGAGCAAGAGAAAGAGTGGGATTCGCCGCGAGAGCGGGATGCTCGTGCCCCCCCTTGCCCCCCTTCACTCCGCCAGTGTTGCTTCTCCTTCTCCTTTCTTTTCTTCCTTCGCAAGGCAGATGGCCTAAAAAGATTGACTCGAGCATATCCAATGAATTCAAATTTGCTCTCCTCGTCAATTCAACATTAATTTCATTAGTATAAGATCAATTGAAACTTATCAAACCGGCTAAATTTAATTAATCAAGATCTCAATTCGATTATGATGAGCTCTCCGATTAAATCTGATTAAAACAAAATCTGCGTGAATCCATTTAAAATAAAATTCAACTTATTTCAATTTAATCATCCATGTTTATCCTTTCCAAATATAGCACTTAATGATCTCATTACAATCTATACTACTATTAAAGTGTTGCTTGTGATTCTTCCCATATAGCATCCTGAGCGTTCGTTAAAAAACTTTATCTTAATATCCATCATTAATTTTTTAAACTGCATCTGCTGGCGAACCAATATCACACTTTTCTTCTTTCAAGGCATCCTTCTTATTTCTTCTTTGTATCAACGCATCCCTATACGAAATGGCGCATTCCCTTTTGTGTTATAAAATTTCATATGCTGGCGAAGAAATGTCTATACACTGCGAACGTTTTGCTCGCTCGCCGGATACAACAAACATCCTAAGGTGAACTTATTAACTTTATGTTCAATTTCTACGATTTCTCTTCACCTTCTTCCTAATTTTTTTTAACTCCACGCATCCGCTCACCGAAGCCCCCTGTCTCGCTTCCTCTCTCTCGATAAAGTTACATAATAAAAGTTTACTAAAATAGGAGATATCACATTTTTATCACTTACAGGAGAAAAAATTATGCCAAACTCAAAATCATTGAAAGTAGAAGTAGAGTAAATGTTACTTATAATGATTATAATACTTTTTATAATAGAAGCAACAGAGGAAGAAGCCTCGAAAGCCTTTTCTCTCTTCTCTCTCTCTCCTATCGATCTTCTCTTCTCCTTCTCCTTTCTTTTATTCCTTCGCAAGGCAGATGGCCTAAAAAGATTGACTCGAGCATATCCAATGAATTCAAATTTGCTCTCCTCGTCAATTCAACATTAATTTCATTAGTATAAGATCAATTGAAACTTATCAAACCGGCTGCAATTTAATTAATCAAGATCTCAATTCGATTATGATGAGCTCTCCGATTAAATCTAATTAAAACAAAATCTGCTTGAATCCATTTAAAATAAAATTCAACTTATTTCAATTTAATCAGCCATGTTTATCCTTTCCAAATATAGCACTTAATGATCTCATTACAATCTATACTACTATTAAAGTGTTGCTTGTGATTCTTCCCATATAGCATCCTGAGCGTTCGTTTAAAAACTTTATCTTAATATCCATCATTAATTTTTTAAACTGCATCTGCTGGCGAACCAATATCACACTTTTCTTCTTTCAAGGCATCCTCCTTATTTCTTCTTTGTATCAACGCATCCCTATACGAAATGGCGCATTCCCTTTTGTGTTATAAAATTTCATATGCTGTCGAAGAAATGTCTATACACTGCGAACGTTTTGCTCGCTCGCCGGATACAACAAACATCCTAAGGTGAACTTATTAACTTTATGTTCAATTTCTATGATTTCTCTTCACCTTCTTCCTAATTTTTTTTACTCCACGCATCCGCTCACCGAAGTCCCCTGTCTCGCTTCCCTCTCTCGATAATGTAAATTTTTTTTTCTTCCCCTTTGAAGCCCTAAATTCCTACTTCAACATTTTCTAGGTTTCACAATTCGATAATCATCTATCTCCTTTCTCCCATGTCCTTATACTCTTGTTTTTCATACCTTTTTTTTTTCTTCGTCATTGTCGTTTTATCCCTGGAGGAAATTAATGCGTCGCTCTGGCACCACCGATTGGGATCTACATTGGGCCAAGTCGATGGAAACAAACCTTCCGGGCTTCTATGCAAAGAAGAGAACGACATCAATCCACTTTTCTTCCGGGTGGCTATGAAGAAAAGGTTTACAATTCGGTAATCCACCGATTCCATTTCCCCTTTCGAATAGTTGTTTGCTTTTCCTCCTTACCATTTCTTCTCCTCTATGTTTTTCTTCTCCTCTCTGCCGTGTTCTTCTCCTATACTACATTTTGTTGTTGTCTTTTCCTCTTCATTTCTAAGTTTCTTTTCTAATTGGCCTCGCAATGGTTCCAAGAACTTCATCACCGAAGCCAACCAAATACCTCCACTTATTTCTACAAAACGTCAACAGATAGAAGAGCGCAGCTGCAAAAAAAGTTTGGTTAATAACTCACAAAATTCTCTCAATAAAAATCGTTAATGGCTAGCCGAGGTTTCAGGCATCATCAAGGGCGAGAACACCAGGCAATGAATTTCCTTCCAAAAGCTCCAAGCTCGCAGCACCGCCTGTAGAGATATGGCTCATCTTATCAACAAGCACAATTTTCTCTACAACAGCAACAGAGTTGCCCCCGCCAATGATAGTCGTGACACCTCCACTAAGATCAGCCAATTTCTTGGCAATAACCTGAGATAATTAAATGGTAGGGTGAGAATTAGGCTTCATAACTTTTTTATGAAGATAGAAGTTTTATAATATAATTGAAATGGATTGTTCATCAATCCAAAAGCTCCTTTATTGTTCTTTATTTCTAAGGATCTATTTTGGATGATGCTTGAGTGGGATGTGGTGTTCTGGAACTATTTTATTTTATTTGTCATACAATGAAATTTATTGATTTGTAGTAATACATCATGTTTGTTGCATCCCAGGTTTCCTAATTCTTGCAGGTGCAGTTAGTCAAAGAACGCCATCATTGACTCATTGTGATCAAAACCAGGGAAAAAATTCCATTTGCTTTGGGATGAAATTTTAATTCTAACATTAGATTATATTTATCAATTAGCTGCACTCAAACCTTTGTTATATGTGCAAAGTTTGACTTTTCTATGCCCATGAGTTATTCACATAAAAATGCATTTGTGCATTTCTCTTATTTACAAATTTTGTTTCAGTTTGTTAATGACTTACTAAATCCTGCTGGTCAGAACTTGAGAATTAGGGAAGGCCTTCAGGTAGGCTATATATATTTGTTTGTTTAATTAACTTTTTTTATTACTGTTTCTGGTCTGATTTGCTTTTAAAATATGTTATTGATCTTGTTTAAATTACTAATAATAGGAGAGGTGTATGCAAATCCTAAAATAACAAAGACTATTTATGCCATACTTACAAATTCAAAGGGACATCTCATTGAATTCCCAAATATGAGTTTCATATATCTTAGTGTTGGTCTCTCTTAATGCCCCCGGCCATCCCAACCCCAATCTTTTTTCATTTTACATTACATTGCATTAAAAAAAAATTACTTCAAAGCAAAAAACAAGAAGTATTCTAATGCATTTCTTTTATAATTGCATGCACAGTCATATTTATGCAGGTTACTTCACAGAAGGCAAGTTTGGTTAGGGGAAACCAAAGATTAAACCCAACTTGATTTGTTCACCTGGTACATTTGGTCATTCATATAACATTTCTGAATTTTCTATTGGGGATCTTGGTTCTAATGTTTTGGCTTATTCAGTCCCAACCAAACCAACTTAGTTAAATATTGCGTGCAATGATGGTATGGAAGGGGTGACTAAACTAAGAAAATGAGAATAACATTGATGGTTTGAGGCATTCAATATTTATGAGTATGACATGCAATGATGTTATGAAAGGGGTGACTGAACTAAGAAAATTAGTGTGTCATTGATAAGCATATGATCGAATATTATGAGTGCAATTAATTTGGCGGGAATGCTTTTAGAGTATGTTGAAGTTTTGGAGTGATCGAAGAATTTCTAACCACTTTCCGCCTACATCAAAGGTTAAATATGATGTATTCTACTTTGTAATGGTGGATGAACTTATATTGAAAGCTAGACGTCATAAATTGTGCTATTCACATATTTGATAATTCTTTTAGTCTAATTATGAATAAATGAAAAGTTAATATAATTCTGCAAAAGTTTTAGTAGAAAAGGGCTTAGGATTTAGTGAATAGAAAGTTATATAGCCTACTTAATAATGGTTTAGAATTATCTAACACTTAGCTGTGGCACATTTATTTTGAGAATTATGATATATTGACATTTTTTACGAGAAGAGTAAATATTCGGGCGTTGAATTGGAGAGGAGAGTTTGGGATATTGCGTACGAAGACAATATAACGGTGCCTTAATGGATGATTTATAGAATATGACATTATGTAGTGTGAATATGAGTGTTAGGTGCATTCACAAGTAAGTTGAGTTTTGTAGAAATGCAAATGCATGCAAAAAAAACCTTAAAAGGATAGAGAGCAAAAGCATATATATATTTGTGAGCTTGTGGAAGTAGAGCTTATTGAAATGAAGTTTATAGATTTGTAAGTGAGTGAACTTCAAACCTCTAAAGGAGGGCATAGAATAAAGTCAAAAGTAATAAGGAGGAAAAAGGGTAGAATAAATGTCACATCATATTAAAAAATGTGTAAATAGAATGAAAATCTTATGCATATTTAGTTGAATTGAACTTGAAAGGGCTTGTAAAGTTGATAGTAGATACTTATTATAAAGCAAATAATATCAACGACATAATCTCTATTCACTTAAGTTTACTTATTGGCAGCACAAGTTTGTTAGAATAAGCTTCCTTTGGATTGGTTTGTGGTTGCTCTGGGATGCCATTTTTATCAATAACTCTGCTTTTCGTTCATACTCAACCATTATTTCTTCCCTACTTAACATCTCCATTTTTTTTCCATCTTTTTCTTCTAACCTTTATTACTTGTCTTTCCTATTTCTCTTCCATTTTTTTTTCTGGTGTTAATCTATTCTTCTTGCTTCTGAAACTTTTATTCACAAATACCCTTTAGTGAAAAATAAAAAATGAAAATAAATTAATTAATTAATTAAAAAAATGTTATTTATAATTTCATTAAAGTTGACGATCATTAATGTCTATAGTTTATTGGATACTACATTGTTTATTATGAAAATATTATGTCTTACCTTAATAATTTTTATTATTTTCTTCTTCTTGATTCTACAATATTATGTTGCCATTATTTGCTCAATGCATTTGAGATACTTTCCAAGTGAATCTAAATTTATATATTGGTTTGTTCTTAAGACTGTTATGCATAAATTTTAGTTGAGTGGTGGCACGTAGCTATCATTATTGGCCTCATCCCAAGTCCAATCTATTTGATGACATTTTATATTGTTGTAAATAGTGTAGATGATAACTTGTATTGGTGTACCAAGATTGTGTTGACGAATATTTTCACATCGACTCGACCCCGATCGAGCCCGACTAGGCTTGATCACGCTCGATCAACTCAATTGATCATCGTCGAGGTGAAATTAATCCGAATTAAGCCCCGATTTAATTAAATTAAACCCAATTTAATTTAATTAAACCCAATTTAATTTAATTAAAATCAAATCAATCCAAATCAAACCCTGTCGAGCGTCGTCGAGCCCAATTGACGCAATTCGACGCCGATTCAAGCTTAATTTCGCAAATTAGTTTGATCAGACCCAATCGGACCCAAACCGACTCAAATCGGTTTGCGTCGAGTCCGATTCGGGCTCAATTTCAGCCCTAATTTACGAATTGGGGCTAAATTAAATTTTGAAATCAAATTTCCAAATCTAGGGTTCATATTTCACATGAAATCCTGTCCTAATTCCCTCGTTTCTCACATCAAGGGAGCCTGATTGGCCATTTCGGTCGGTGGCTCTGCTGGGCGTGCTCCTCTAAGAGCACGAGAGGGAGTAGGAGGGAGCATTCGACTCCCCTTTTCGTTTCCGTCCCGACCCAGAGAAAAGGAGAGAGAGCGAGAGAGGGCGATTTCCACGCCCAGGCTTCCGTTCGCCCTTCCTCTTGCGTGCGAAACCGTCGGCCGAACCTCCTGAAGGCTTCGGTTTCTTCCTTGCTGCCTGTCACCCTCCTTCCAGCGAGCCAAAGCCGCAAGTGTGCGGCTTTTCTAGGTGAAAGGGAGAAGGGAGTTTTGGGGCTTGAGATCTTCTCATTCCAAAGAAGAAAATCAAAAGCTAAGCCCTCCGTTTGCTTTATTTCTCAAAGTTAGTGGCTTCTCTTCCTTCCTCTTTCGTAGCAATTTGAAGGCTGTTGGAGACTTCCAAACAGCAAGGGAAAGCTTCGAAATTCTCCAAACAGCAGCTTGGAGTCTTCAAAACGCCTTGGACAGCAGCGGCGAGTTCCGGAGCGGCTTGGACAGCGAATTGGAGCTTGGAGCGGAGCTTGGACAGCAGTTAGAACTTGGATTGGAGCTTGGACAGCAGCTTGGACAGAAATTTGGAGCGCTAGGACAAACCGAGAGAGGTATACCACTAAAACTTAGTGAAACCTAGGGTCCCCCAAGGCCAATTGTTGTGTGGTTGACGCCCCCGAACCTTAGGACCTTAGAAACTTCAATTTTTGCTCTCCCAAAATCCCCCGTTGGCTGTCCTCTTCATAAGTCAATGAAAATTTGGTAATTTTCATTTGTGGATTCTCATGTGAGAGTCCCAAGAGGATTCTAATGCGCATAAAGGTGTTGGATTGGTGTCCAACCCCTCTCAAATGCATGATTTTGCACTCATATTGCATGCTTAGCCTTCGCCTACGAATGGACCATAGGATTTGATGATCTTTTTTCTATCCCAAAATGAATGTTGAGACGTAGGTTTTGTTGAGTTCTAGGTTGTACCTACTCAATGCTAATGTCATGGCAAAATTGACATAGGATTTAGGGTTTTGCATTTGTCAACTTGCAATTTTCTCTATGACTTGGTTAGATGCCCAAATGCATTTGATAACTTGTTGTAGAATTTTATTTGAACTCTTAAAGGTTCATTTTACAAATTCTAGAGCAAGTAGGGTTGATCAATCTTATTTTGGGTGTGTTGCAAAGCTTGTAAAGAAAATAACAAGTGGACATTCCCTCTATTGTATCAAAATTCCTTAATTTGGAGAACCATCTACACACGCATACATTCTAGGTTCTTTCTTAGATCATATTGGAACCAAATCCCAAGTTCTTCCCTTCTTTGTTTGTTGAAAAGACAAAATCAACAAACAATCATTCCCCCTCTTTGGACACCAAACGTTCAAAGGAAATCCTCCAATTTGTAATCCCTAAGTTGCATTTTGGACAATTCCTTTTCCTACAAGCCCAAATTGTAGGAAACCTCAAAATTTCTCTTCATTAGCCTAACTTCAAATTAGGCAAATGAATTCGTCTCTTTGAATATCAAATGTTCAAAGAACATTTATGGATTTGCAACTCATGAGTTGCATGTTCCTTCCCTCTTTTCTACAACTCAAAAGTTGTAGGAAATCTAATCATTCTCCTAAACCCAAACTAGGAGAATGCATTCTCCTCTTTGGACAACAAATGCTCAAAGAACTTCCATTGATTTATAATCTCTAAATTGCATCTTTCCCTCTTTCCTACAAGTCAAGATTGTAGGAGAGCATCTAAACTCATTTTCATGCTCTCAAGCCCAAGTTGGGAGAATGAATTCCTCTCTTTGAACACCAAATGTTCAAAGAGGTTTTAGAAGCTTGCAACCCAAAGTTGCATCTTCTCTTCTCCTTTATACAACTCAAAAGTTGTACGAAAGTTTCATTCTCTCAATTCACGTTGAGAGTGAATCAATCTTATTATAAGTCATTCATCTTTTCCTTCGACTCCAAAAATTCTAAGGAATCCTCCCAACCTTAGCCCAAAAGCTATAAATTCCCAACTCTCCTCCAGCTCTAAAGTTGTAGGAGATTTTTCCTCTCTTTAGCTCCAAAAGTTAGAGGGAGTTCTCCTACATTTAGCCCAAAACTAAATGTTGGATCTCTATCCTTTCTTCCCTTAGCTCCAAAAGCTAAGGAGAATTCTTCCACATGTAGCCCAAAAGCTACATGTTGGACATCTTCCTTAGACCCAAAATCTAAGTAATCTCTTCCACTCAACCCAAATTGAGTGATCTTTCCTATGACATTTAAAATGCTAAACTGTAGATGTCCCTTAGGAGTTGTCAATTCTGTTGAAGTTCATCCTACCCTATTGGATGAATTTCACCAAGTCCTAAGTGAAGCCTCTTAGGCAAGTCTATCTTACCATATTAGATTGACAATTCTCTTATCCAAACATTAAGAGAACTCCAAAAACACCTAAAAATTACTTAGGTTCCTTTTGATACAATGATTAATCATCTCTCTCAAAAGGCGGGATGCCTATATCATTGTATCTTAGGATTCATAAGTAACAGACTTGCCCAAAAGCAAGCAGTGGTTACTTTATGGGTTATTCATAACCCTTCTAAATATGAAAATGTTAAAAATCAAATAAAATCATTAAGTCACAAACAACTTAAAGTGAAACCACCCCTGGATAAAGATTAAACATCTTCATTCCAAAATAAAACCAAAGACCCTTAGTGTGACATGCTATACAAGGCTCACACACTTAGGTGACAGCCCCTTAGGCATGCTAGGATTAGGATTTTTCTTTTCTGCGCATGTGTTTGATGTTGTGGTGTGATTGCCCTTGAATTTCTGTATTGTGGGCACTTGCCCTTAAGTGGATAGTGTAGAAATATACATGTTCTTCTTGCAAGTGGTCATATCTAAAAGGGGGCGCTCATAAATAATAAACTGCTTGCATGACAAGTACTGCTTAAAACCCCCCAAAGATGTGGCTAATAGGGTGGAAGCATGTGTTTGGCACTCTAAGTGCTAAATAAAATTCTGAATGTAATGCTTTATTATATGAACTGCTTATAACTCTATTTTGCAGGTTTGAGTCTTTCTCTTTTCAAACATGTATTTGATAGAAGTATGAATTGTATCAAACTTGTGGGGGTTTGGAGCAAAAGAGTGAAGTGGACTAGAAGGATGTACTTGCCAAAGGTGAAGCCCAATGTCCATTCAAAAGTCAAGAGCCTGAAGAACCCCCCACAAGTAGAGTCTGTAATTTGACTGGGTTGTATAATGACAGGCAACTCAGCTGTCAAATCTGGTTGTAATAATGTGGACTCTATTTACATTCCTTGCATTTGATATATATACAAGCATATTTTGAATGTTTACTTGATTGTGCAATAAAAAAGCATGTCTTTTCTTTAAGTTTCTTCTCTTGTTCATTTGGGTATGGCCTGGACTGTGATGCGGTAGGCTCTTTGGACAAAAATAAGATTTCTACTCATTAAAATGTAATCAATCTAAAAATTGACTTAGGCTCCACGATTTTCTAAACAAAAAGAAACTTGCATGACTCCCTTCAAGGAGCTAAGTTTTCAAAATAAAAACAATCATGCATAGCTCAAAGCATGTTGCATATAGAAAGCCCTCACTTAAGGACTAGATAACAAAAAAAATCTTTCTTTCGTGAGTCAGCATTATGCATACCCACATGTATGGGCATTTTGGCCTCAAAGCCAAGCTATAAGTCCTACCTTCTAAATAAAAATAATCCTACCACTCTTCATTTGCATTGAGACTGGATATCATGATTTTAAAAGCGAGTAGGAGGGTTTAGCTGGTAGTCCCTTCTAGGCGGGACAGTAAATCCAGAGGTCGGGCAGGCTATTCATCTTGTGAGGTGTAGTTTGTAAGCCCCTTTGCACTCGTTAGATTTAGGTTCGAGGCACTACCTATCGGTAGTCCTCACCTTAGTCTTAGGGTCTGAGGCACGGGTTGATTCCAAATCACCCTATAAGCCCTCACCTTTCGGGCAATTCCTACAACATGTGCTGTTGGAATGTAAGCCCCAACTTTCTAATAAACTGATCAAACTTAAACAAAAATTAGAGTTCAAAAATATAAAACGTAACATAGGATAGTTTGGGCACCTCTGAGTTTCCTCTCAGAATCAAATGCCCATACTTTACCTCCTTTGACTTTCATTCCCAAAATCTAATCCTTAGTTGATCAACTTCTCCTTGAAATTCCTAAAAGGCCAAAATCCTTTTGCTAGGACTTTCATGGATTTAAAAAAAAAAAAAACTTTAGTCAATGTCTAAAATGACTTGCAAAAGAAAGAAAAACCACTAGTTTAATCAAAAGTTTTCCCAAACCAAAGTTTGGGATGTAATTAACCATAGGGGCTTGCCCCTATGGGACGTCTGTACCCCAGAAATAAATAAACCCCACTCGACCAAATATCGAGTGGGGGAATCTCTGTTATAATTGTAAATTTTGTTATTGAGTACATAAGGAAATGATATTTTTATCCTTCGGGGTAATATATCATGTTCTTATGCCGTACTCGATCATAAAATATGCAATCCGTTTGAGGATACAAAAATTCTCCAACAGATTGCATTTAAGAACACAATTAAAGCACTTAAAGATGTGTTCGTCGTAATGGAATCATAATTAAGCCATCCATGAAAGAGCAAGTGCAATTATCCACATAGCATTTTATCAGTTAGTTGGCTTACCTTGGTAGAAGTGAAAGAACATCTAGCAAGAGATAGAGAGAACATTGACAAATACAGTTGGATATATATGATTTAACAGTTTCTTTGTCTAACCTAGTTGGGATTTCAGTTGGGGTTGTTGTATTAATATTAGCATTTATTATAAAATCATAATATTTGTATTGTACTTTCTTTTTTGCTTTATTTTCTTGATCTTATATAGATATAATTGTAATAATATTAAATTAATCCAAGATTGAATGATATATGTTGAACTATGAATTAAAGCGAGTTAACTTAAGATTTTTCTGCCACTTTATTGAAAACGGCACAATGGTTTTTGATGCACTAAAATTTAAGTTAATGTGTAGGGAACGAAAAACGTAAGTCTTTTCTTGGTACCAGCTATTGCGTTGTTGATTTTTGTAATTTTTTTCCACATTATTTTTTTACATAACATGTGCTCATAAGCATTGGGGTTCAGATTGTAAGTTCGAAGACATGAAATCTTCTTGGTAGTAGAAATTCTTGAGAATAGCAAATAACGAGTATTTACCGAATATAATTATGATGTTGATCTATGCAAGCTTAGGAAAATAAATAAAAGCATCAATCCATCATCTGTTCATGAAATTTACTTCAGTGGTTCAAACATTGGTAAAGGAATGAAGATTGGTGTTGTTTCTGGGATGATTGCTCTGACTGAGTTTTAATAACTTGAATTAATTTAAAGTTCCAAAGCATGATGATTTTGTTTTCATGGCCTCAATAATTTAAGAATATCAGGAAACTGTAGCTATAGGAAGAACATTTGCTGACATGAAGGGTTATCAGTTGGATGGAAACAAAGAAATGCTCGCCCTTGGAACTATGAACATTCTTGGATCCAAGAGTTCGTGCTTTATATCCACTTTTAATAAAAGGAATGCAAGTAGGAACTCGATTCATTTCATGCTATATTGAAATCGGAAATTTAATTTTTTTCCTCCTAAAGTAGAATGCCCTATTGTCAAACTGAGGTGGTCCTATTCATGTGCCAAACTACTCCTGTGTTGTACTGCTATATTATCTTAACAACTATGAATTGAATAAAGAACATACAATTCTTCTTGCCCTTTTTTTTCATTTTTTACTTGTTGCAGCTGAATATGTATATATTTATAAGTGATTGCTTCTTTGAAACACATTTTCTTACTACTATTTACTCTTGCTACTTAATTTTATATTTTTTTTCTATGTGAAATAGGAATATAACATTAAAACACATATATGTTATTATTAAGCTTATCCTACTTGACATTGAAAATTTGAAACTTTGAAGTTTACTTACATGTTAAACCATAAATATATATTAGCTTTCTTATATTAAATTGTTCGATTCCTTTTAAGAACTATCTATTGGTTTATAAAATTCAACTTTCTAACAGATCAGTAGCAATTCCATTCATACATTTATGGAATTATTCCACATCAAAGGAAACTATAATTGCTTAACCAAAGCAGCAACAACTCCCTAAACTCATTGAAAATTTTTTATATCTATTCTTATGCCATTTTTACTTTTACACTTGTTATTAAAAAAATTATGTATTTTTTAGTATTGAATTGTAAAAATATATTTATATATTTTTATACAATATTTTAAAGAAATATATATAACTTCTTACTAATATAAATAGTAATTAGAATTACTTGTATTAATAAAGCACATAAAAATAAAAATTTTATTTTATTTCAAAAGTAAAGTAAATAATTTATGATATTAAATTTTTTTTGCTCTCCAAAATATATATTATATGCGTATAAAAATTTATCTATAACTATAAAAATTGTATAACTACTATTATAAGTTTTAGTTTTGAGTCTCCTCATATGTCATCTTAATTTTACAATGCAAAACATTAAATAAAATTGCACACTTAATTTTTTACTATTGATAGAAGCCTATCCCAATCAAAACAAAATTTCGTGTTTCGTTCTTATCTAATATCTTTAAGATTTAGGGTAGGGGTGTCAATTTCGGGTCGGGCTCGGGTCGAACCCAAAATTGATCTGGCACTATTTGGGTTCGGGTCAACCCGACCCGTTTTTACAAGCGGGTCGATTTTCCGGACCCGAACCCGACCCGTTTCGAGTTCGGGTCAACCCGACGATGGCGCGATGCGACCTCGGGTCTGGCGGGCAGGGCCGGTCAGGCGGATTTCCGGGTCATTCCCGGGTTCCCGGGTCATCCCGAACCCGACCTGATTTTGCTAACTGGTCGGTTTTCTGGACCCGAACCCGACCAGCTTCGGGTTCGGGTCAACCCAATTTCAAAATTTTCGGGTTGGGTCCAATATTGACAGATCGAATTTAGGGCTTATATTGAATTGTAAAATTATATTTATATTAAATATGTATTTTTTAGTATTGAATTATAAATTATATTTATATTTTATTACATAATTTTTTTTTAAAAATTATAACTTCTAACCAATATAAATAATAATTAGCATTACTTGTACTAATAAAGCAGATGAAAATAATTTTTTTTCTTAATACGCGAAAAAATTATTAAATTTTTTATTATGATAGTTTTTTTATTAATTGCTTTTATCACTACATAAAGCTGTAAGCACTAAACCATCAAGTTATGGGAGCTTGGCATTTAAGTGACTTTGGATTGTCTTATTTGTTATTTTGAGTGCTGATTAATAATCATTGAGATAAGGGTAAATGTTGATGATTGTGATGATAATAATGATATGTTTTTCTGAGGTGCACAATTTCGTGGTGGTCAGTACTTGGCATCATTTTTATATTTATGGTTGTACATTTAGGACATCATTGTTACAGAAATGCAATGTGTATTCACAATATTTTAGAGCTTTGAATTGTTCTTCATACTTTATAACTTTGAATTGATCATATACAACAAATGTATGAGATTATTATTTTATTATTATTATAAGCCAAATTATTTTCTTTCTAATATTTTTTCCCTCTTTTTTTTTTTACAATCGATTGACCTTGCCATAATTCTATAATCTATTTGAATTGTATAATATGTTTTCATGTATTGATTAATTATTTTAGTTATCTTGTGTTTTTTTTTTCACTAAGAATATGCTTGATTTATTTTTTACCATTTACATTTTAAATTTATCTTGGATTTAAACTTTGGCATTAGAGTAAGATTCGTAGTAGAAATATAGGTATTTTTATAGATAAGAGTTTGAAGGATAATGTTATAAAAATAAATAGGATTGAAAATAGAATTATACCTTTAAAGATTGTTGTTGATACTAAGATTGTTAATATTATAAGTGCTTATGCTCCTCTAATAGGTTTGGATATGAGTTCTAAATTAAATTTTTGGAATGAATTAGAAGAATTAATACAAAATATATATCTTGAAGAAAGAGTTTTTATTGGAGGTGATTTAAATGGACATATTGGTAGAGAGGTAGATGATATTAAAAGTATTCATGGTGGCCATGGGTTTGGAACGACAAATGAATGTGACAAGACCATATTAGATTTTTATTTATCTTATAATTTTTTAATTGCTAATATTTTATTTAAAAAAAATGAGCATCTCATCATTTATAAAAATGGATATAGTATAACTCTGATTGACTATTTTCTTATAAGAAAATTAGATCGTTTAGATTGCAAATATTATAAAGTTATTTCGAGTGAAAATTTATGTACCCAACATCGATTATTAGTTTTGGACTTTAAGATAAATTGACAGAAAATAAAAAATAAAGTAAAATGATTTTCAAGGATTATATGGGGCATTTAAAGTATATTAACAAAAATTGATTTAATTGTAAAAATTTTGATAATTGGGAAAGATATAAAGAGACTCGTAAGGAATCTACGAAAGCAATATGCAATGCACAAACCTTAGCTTTTAGTGGTTTATATAATAGATTAAATATTAAGGAGGGAGAAATATATATATGTATAAGTTAGTCAAACTAAGAGATAGGAGTAGTAAGGATAGTTCAAGTGAAGTGTTTTAAGGATAAAGATAAAAAAAATACTTTTCTTAGAAGATGATATTCAAGAAAGGTGGATGAGATATTTTGCTAAACTTTTTAATGAAGATTGTGAAAATAAGATTGACTATAGTGACCTTAGCACCCTAAATGAAAATAAAGATTTCTATTTTTATCGGCGTATTAGTAAAATTAAAGCTAGAGAGGCTTTAAATAAAATGAATGGTGGAAAAGCTGTTGGACCTGATGATAATCCAATAAAGGCATAAAAATGCTTAGGAGATGAAAGAACTTCTTGGCTTCCTAAACTTTTTAATATTGTTTTGAAGACTAAAACGATGTCAGATGAGTGAAGAATGAGTGTGTTAATTCTTATTTTTATTAATAAAGGTGATGCACAATATTGTACGAATTATAGAGGAATTAAGTTTGTGTCATACTTTAAAATTATGGGAGCGAGTTATGGAGCATAGGTTGCGGCGTGATACTAATGTTTCTCAAAATCAAATTGGATTCATGCCGGGTAGGTCGACTATGCAAGTCATATATTTATTAAGAGGTTTTATGGAGAAATATAGAGAAAATAAGGAGGATCTACATATGATATTTATTGATTTAGAAAAAGCATATGATAAAGTTCCAATAGA